TAACGACTCGGCGATATGCCCATAAAAACTTTGCCCTTTTTGTTGTATTAATTTCTTGCATAAATATATCACATTCCCTACTTCTCAGTACAGTTAAAGAAAGTTCCAAAGTTTTGTTAAACCCTTAAGAAATCTTAACAAAACCCTGGCGAAAAATTACCGAACTCTGAGTTGATGATATTTTAAGGACGCCCCTAATACACTAAAAATGAAAAGCTACTAAATTAACTGGTACAAAATGTTTTCCTGAATTTTCTTGTCTCCCAAAAACTATGTAAAGAAAAATTTAATTCCTACAATTATGTAAATAAATTTGTAATAACTTTTCTAGTAAAACACTTGGTAAACGGCCTCAATTGGCAACGTGAAATGCAGCGATGGATGCCAGAAACGTCATCGAAAGCGGTCTAAACCGCTTCAGTGCAAAATGAAGAATCGAAGAAGCAGTTGATAAGAATGCATATGTCGAAATATTTAGAATAAACTGAGAAAACAAGAAACAAAAACCCAAAAAATAAGCATAAAAAAAATAAAACAAACAAATATTAGTTAAATTTATTGTTAGCAATAAAAAAAAACAGAAAAGCGAATAATTTTTTTAGAACACATTTAGAGAATATCATATTTAGCTACAGAAAATTTAAACTAAAAAGCAAACAAAGTATTAGCGGCTATTACACAAAAATTAAAAATACGAGCATACAGCAAAAGAAAACTTCATTAAGGTGAACTCATTTTACATAGACTTATTTTTTAATTTGTGAAATCTATTTGAGCAACTACATATGTAGTAAATATATAGTTTACAGTCAGGAACAACAAAACGAACAAAATCATTTAACGAACATACAGTGCGAATCGTACTGGAGAGGATGTCTGCATACCTACAAACATACCATCTAGCAACACACACCAAACGGAATTAAATTTTTGTCGAATCCAATAAATAAAGTGCGTGAAAGTAGGCAAGTGGCTGATTAAAAGCTCTTAAATAATTGACACCTTAATCAATGCCCCGTTAAAGGCTAGCTGACAGCTTTGAGAAGCTCAGCTTTGAGAAAATTAAGAGCTACAATTCAAAATTCTTCGCACTTCTGTATTCTTGAATTCAGAAACTTTTATCCGGGTTTGTTGTCCGGGTCTTGAGCTTTCTGGCTTGTAGTCGTTAATCCTGAATTTTATTTTAAATTCCTACGCGGAAATTTACCATTACGGCATAGGATGAGCCTACTAAACATTCTAGAAATATCTCTCAAAACCTACATTATAATCGCCATTCAATAAACGATTTATGTTTTGGTTAACTTTTTCCATTTATCAGTGGTTTCAGTTAAGAATTAACTAGCATTCTTTAGTTGGGTTAGATTAGGTTGAAGTTGATGCCTGCTTTCAATATAGCAGTGGGTGCATTGAGAGCTCTTACGCTATATCATCCATTCACCTACAAGTAGAACCAGTTCGTCGTGTTGATAAAGCGCGAGAATTCATTAATGCCTGCTTCGCTTATGTCCACCAGACAGACGTGGAAGCGATGTCGAAATTAGCGTCTTCTTGCCCACGACAGGGCAGGACAGTGACAGAACTAGTGTTCCACACTCTCAATTTCTTCCTCGTCGCCGCAGCTGCGGCAGAAGTTATTAGCCGGCAAGCCCATTCTGTTAGCATGTGATCTTATCTATGTTGCAGCGAGGGTGCTCTAACAGAACGAGTGCGTCGGAAATTTTCTAGTCAGAGCTAGGCCAGACTTGTCGAGTCGTTGATCCTCAGCTAACTTCCGAATGTATTTAAATTATTTACCGAGAAAACGTCCCTAATAATAGTTAATTTTTTAAATCTGTTCAGCTGTTCGCTCAATATAAGTAACAAAAAACACAACTCCAATAGCCACATAGTCGACTTAATCGATTACCCATACAAACATCCATACGTACATACAACCAAGAAAAATTACGATAAATTAATCAATAAAACTGCCGTTATGTTAAAAAAAAAAAAAACAAATATAAATAAAACACAAAAAAGTAGACAAAATGCTCGTACTCGCATACAAACAATTAAAAACAAAGCAAAAAACAACAACAACAAAATATGCCGATACAAGAACATAAGCGAGTAAATTCGATGCCATAAAAAATTAACACTTTTTTTGTAAATACAATAATAAGAAATCAACTGCAAGAAAAAAACAACCTAAGTAATACTTAGTCAACTGTAACAAACGCTGAGCGAAAGTAACAAACAAACATACATATAAAATATCAATAGCGCCAGAAAATTTGTAAATTATAAAACTAAATATTAGCAATCTAGCTGCATTCTTAAATATAAACAATTTCTTTTTTTGAGTCTAAATTTTTGTTTAAATTGTGTATTAAAGTAAATACATACTTGTTATTAAGAAATAAGGAATCTTCCAACAAGTTATTAGCTAAATTAGAAATCATGAATTATGTATGTATATGAATTTAGTGACATATGTATGTACATATATTAAAAAATTATGTTCGCTCCCCGAAATTCATATATGTATGTATAATTCTACCCCCGATTTTTGCACAAGAAAAAATCATGTCTAACGCTCAAACCAGCTACATATATAATTTTGGCATTGCAATCAAATTTAAATTGTGTGATTAAATATACGAAATGCGGCTTTATTAAGACTTAGAACTGTTTTCACATTGCAAAAAAAAACTCTCATTCGTCATTTAACTTTACTTTTGTACTGAAAATCGACTCGACTCGGTAAAGTGGTTTGTTATTGCATTAAATTGCTTAAAATTCCCCATACAAGCCGTCAATGTCTCATATCATTCTGTCAGATTCGTCCTGTTCTCAGTGAGCTTTGAAAACAAAATATGGGCTGTTTCAAAATCGCTCCGATTCGCTTGTGTAGCAGTCCGCAAATTTCAGACCAAAACAATTTTGAACAACATTATTTGCTTCCTGTTTTTATTAAAAAATGTTTTATTTTAGATTTTTTTATAAATTACGGTATTTTATTAATTACGTTATAAAGAAGTAGTTTTGGAGTCCNAAAACCAAATCTGCCCATCGTTTTCTTGATATGAACTAGACGAAAAATCGACCGCTGGCCGAAAACCGTCAAGTACGCAAAAAAAAATTAAGCTTTTGATGCATGGTCTGGAAATGGAACTATGTACTTAAAGTTAATATCTGGCTGTTGTATGGGATATGGGAAAGTAAATATGACCAGTGTTCCCGCAATCTAATAGTAGTTCCAAGGCTAAGAATTCTGTAAGTTCTCTAGGAATTCCACAATGGTCCCAGTGGGAGGGTATCTGGGAAAGATTCTGTACTTAATCAGGCAGAGGCGATAGCTAACTGTGTATTGCAGCTAAAGAAGCGAAACCCACCAGTCATGGCCAGATGAGAGAGCATAACTCCGGTAAAATATTCGAGCGGATTTCCAAGGATCTGGCCGGTCCATTTCCTATGGGCAGATTGTGATACAAATACGCTCTCGTGGTTGTGGACTAATTTAGCAG